GTTCGAGTTGAAGGAGCCCGGGTGAAATCTTATTCACTTCAGGACAGAAGTTGTAAGAAGAAGATGGAGGACATTGCTGCTAATTCTTTGCAGGATGGACAATTTGGAGAATGGTTAAGAGCAGGGGAAGGATGGCATAGCTTTAAGAACAACCAAAGTAGTGATAATTCTGGGAATTCTTAAAACTCAACTCCAAACTTCCAGAGCCCTCAGACTAAATCTACAGGGAGCATAGTGAAAGAGAGAGAAGGTCCATCTATGGATAAAATTATAGAGGAGAGTGGATTTCTGGAGGATGAACATGTGCAGAAAACAAGAGCGGAGGATCAACTAATGTTAAGTCCGAGATCAGAGGGCACAATAAGAGGGGATAAAGAGAGGAATACAGAATGCTTGACTTTAGCTGCAAGAGTAGAGCAAGAGCTAGAGCCAGAGGTTCATTTAGATGAAATTGAATCCTAGAGAAAGCAGAAACAGATAATAGTGGAGGATGAGGGAGAGAAGGATACACCTGCTATGTTGGTTGCTGAAAGCCAACCTAAGCTAAGAAGCAACATAACTTGGAGGAGGTTGTGCTAGAGCTCAAAGCCAAATACTGAGAAGAGTAAGGATGGGGGAAAAATCACAGACCATGTATGGGGGAAAATGATGTGATGATGAGTCCTGAGGAGGCAGAAGGGTTGAATGATGAAAGGGTACATAAGAAAGCCAAAGAACAGGTGGGGGTAGCTAGCCTTGAATGGCGCCATGGTGACCAATGCTAGCTCAGGTGTGGAACTGTAGAGGCTTGAGTGGCTCCTCTACAGTTCCCTAGCTGCAGGAGTCTATTAGACTTCACCATCCCTCTTTTATTTTTTTGTCTGAAGTTAAGAAGTCAGTAGGGTTTGTTAAATCTGTGTGTAAAAAGATGGGTTTTGAAGACATATGGAAGTATGTGAAACATAGAGATATCAGTGGGGGGTTACTGTTGTTATGGGAGAGAAAGGTGGAAATTAAACAGTTACTATGCTCTGAGTTTTTTATTGAAGTTGAGTTCAAAGAAGAAGGGTGCTCTGACTGGTTATGGATAATTTTTGTTTACCTAAGTACTGAAAAGTCTACAAGACAAGATCAGTGGAAATGGATTGAGGATGCTAAGATCAAATGGGATCCAGACTGGTTGATCACAGGAGATTGGAATGACATTTTACACCAAGAAGAGAAGAATGGTGGTAGAGAGAGGACTAAAAAAAGCTTTGAAGGGTTTAGGACCTTTGTGGCTGATATTGGAATGCAGGAGTTACAAATGCTTGGTTATCCCTTTACCTGGGGGAATAACAGGGTGCAAGAAGGGTTTGTGGAGGAGCTTCTTGATCTAGCATTTGTTTCATTGGAATGGCTGGCTAAATTTGATCACACAAAAATCTCTAACATGCTGCGCTCGGCTTCTGACCACAGTATGTTACTAATTGACTACAGAAAAGGGGATAACCAGATTAAGAGGAGGTTCATGTTTGATAAAAGGTGGATTGCAAGAGAAGGAGTGAAGGAAGTCATTGATAAAGTCTGGAGGGAAAAAGGTGATGGCACTCCTATGTTTCAAGTTAAGGACAAGATTAAAAGGACAAGGTTGGCATTGAGAAATTGGGCTAGGAAAGAGAACATGAACATGTCTGCCACTATCCAGCAGTTGTCCTTGAAACTTGAAAGGTTGAGAGAGTCAGGTGGGGAGAAAGATTGGGAGGATAGAAAAGGGTGAAGAGAGAATTGGATAATGCTTATAAAGCAGAGGAATCTTACTGGCACCAAAAGGCTAGAGTTCAGTGGCTAAGAGAAGGGGATCAGAACACAAAGTTCTTCCATGCCTATACCATGCATAGAAGAAAGAGGAACTCAATTTTCAGATTGGTGAATGGTAGGGGTGAGGTGGCTAACAATGAAGAAGAGATTGAAAAGATGGTGTGTCAGTTTTACAACAATCTCTTTGAATCAGAAGGGTCCAGGGATGGAGATGAACTGCTTCAGCATATTCCTTAGACAATCTCTCTCAGCATGAAAATGATCTAGTAGCCCCTGTGGATGAAGATTGTATTAGACAAGCTCTATTCAGCCTTAATCCAAACAAATCTCCAGCAGAGGACGATATGACCCCTTTGTTTTTTCAGCATTTTTGGCATATTGTTAAAACTGACATTTGTGATGCTGTCTCTAGCTTTTTTGAATCCAATATGCTTCTGAAATCTTGGAACCACGCTTTAATCACACTGATTCTTAAATGTTTGAAGCCTGAAACCTTGAGCCATTTTCGTCCTATTACTTTATGTAATGTGGTTTACAAGATTATCTCCAAAATTCTATCTCAAAGGGTGAAAGGGTGTCTTGAGTGCTATATTAGTGAGCTTCAATCTGCATTTGTCCCTGATAGGCAACTTATGGACAATGTAGTAATAGCTCATGAAGCTTTTCATTTCCTGAATAGGCATAGATCAGGTGCTCATTCTTTCATGGCTGTTAAAGTTGATATGTAGAAAGCTTATGATAGGATGGAATGGGGATGTGTGAGGGACATTATGCTTAAAATGGGATTTCATCCTAGATTTGTGAGGTGGGTGCTGGTGTGTATCTCTTCCCCTGTTTTTTCTTTTAACCTTAATGGAAAAGTGTGTGGTTTGGTGAAACCCTCTAGAGGGTTGAGACACGGAGATCCTTTGTCTCCTTACATTTTCTTATTGGTTACTGAAATCCTTTCTGCTTCTATTAAGAGTGAGGTTGGATTGGGCAGATATAGAGGTGTGAGTTTGGCTAAAGGGGGTCCTGTTCTTACCCATTTTCTATTTACTGATGATTCCCTTTTCTTTTGTAAAGCTGATGAGAGTCAAGCTAGAGTCTTATTGTAGATTCTAAATGCTTATAAGTCCTTCACATGACAATCTGTGAACTTGTTGAAGTCCTCTATTTTTTTCAGTAAAAATACCCATACTTCTACTCAAGCCAGTGCTTGTGAGGTGTTGAGAGGGATTGTTGTTCAAAAATCCACTAGGTATCTTGGGTTACCATGAGGCATTGGCAGATCAAAAATAGAAACATTTAATTTTGTTTTTGAGGCTGTGCAAAACAGGATTACTAGCTGGAAGAACAAATTCCTTTCAACAGCAAGAAAGGGGGTGCAGATAAAGGCTGTTCTGAATGCTCTACAGATTTTTGTGATGTCCTGCTTTCAACTACCTGATAAAATCTGTAAAGGGCTTGCCAAACTGTGTGTCAACTTCTGGTGGAGTAAGGGTGATGACCGTAGGTAAGGTATGCACTGGAAAGCTTGGAAGGATATTACTATGCCAAGGGAGTTGGGGGGGGTTGGGATTCAAAGATGTAAGGCTATTCAATCTTGATGCTAAAACAACTGTGGAGAACCCTCACTATGCCTGATCTCCTTGTCCGCAAAATATTAAAGAGCAGATATTTTCCTAAATCTGAGTTGCTGGATTGTATAAAAAAAGCAAATGCTTCTTGGCTTTGGAACTGTTGGATGAGTGTGCTGCCACAGTTGAAAAATGGGATGCAGGTGGAGGTCAGAAATGGAGCATCAACCAAAATTTTGGATCATAATTGGGCTGGGATTGGTAGACTCACTGTGAAAGAGAGTGTTGATGGAAGGGATATCAGGGTAAAGGACCTGATTGCACAGGGGGGCAGAAAATGGGATGAGGAGGTTCTGAAGCAGTTTTTTGAAGAGATTGAGTACCAAAAAAATTCTAAAAATCAAATCACTTGACCCTGAGCTTCATGACAAGTATGTGTGGACCTATGACACCAAAGGAAGATTTTTAGTTGCAGCATCCTACACAAAGATGATTATTGAGAAAAGCCACATCTTGGAAAAACCTGAATGCAGCAGCTATGTGATGATGAACAAAAAAGCTAGAATGAGGTGTTGGCAGATGAGAGCAAAAGGGAAACTCAAACACTTTGTATGGAGATGTTTTTCTGGCATTCTTCCTTTAAGCTGCAATGTGGTGAAGAGAGGGATTCAAGTTGATGTAAGATGTTGGGGATGTGGAGAGGAAGAAGAAACTACAGAGCATGTACTATTTAAATGCAGCAGAGCTCAAAGAATATGGAAGATGGTCCCGGTTTCATGGGATTTTGACCACAACCAGCAGGGGAGTTTCAAAGCATGGTGGTGGTGGTTAAGTGCACTGCCTAAATCTGAATGTACTGAGAGAAGAATACAACTTTCAACTTATATATTATGGTGGTTGTGGAAATCCCGCAATCTGTGGATCTTTTAGAAAATCTGGATGACTGAGCCAATGGTGGTTAAACAGGCTGTGTTTGAATGGGAATAATTCAGCAAATGCCAGAGGTGAAGCTGTTATGGATCTGGACTGAGGGTACTAAGCTTTGAGGCAGTGGTGACTTTGGTCAGATTGTTTAATAAGTGTGTGTTTGTGTGAGTGTGTTGTTATGTTATGTTTATTGGTGTTTTTGTTGTTTATGTTGGACTTTGGGTTGAATACCCTTGGGTATATTGGTTGTGTGTTTGTGTAGTTGAGGTTGGGTTAGGGAGGTTTCTGCTTCAGTGCTGCCTTTCCTTTTCTTGTGTAGTTTCTAGATCATACCAAGTGTATGAATCTCCTTGTTTCATCTTCGGAGTATGTAGGGGTTTCCCCATATGACTTTGTCGGTTTGGCTTTTTAATAGAGTTTATCNAATTGTAAGGAGTGTCAATTCCTCTTTAATTAATGTATAAAGTACAAAAAATTACTTTTACTCAAAAAATTTTATAGTACAAAATTTAATCATTTAAACAATTGAAACCATTCTAAATTTTCCTCTACATAGCTTCCGTGCAAATGCACGGGTAAAAAACTAGTTATAATTATTGATATAACCCAAGCCATACCAACGACTCTCCACTTAACTCTATGAAAGTATAATGAGTTACAGTTGCTGCTGACACCATAAAACATTGATGTTAACTTCTACTACTAGTTTCACTCACCATACAATCTAAAAAATTACCACTATTTTGTAATATGCATGTGCTTTAAAAATCGTCATTTTGTAAATTGTATAATGTAGCATATTGGTAGTAAGTATCTCACAGCAAATGACGACAAAGCCAAACGGCAGGTCAACTACAGATGATAGGACTGCGTCACTTGCAAAAAAAGCAACAAGCCAGACAAAGCATGCTATCTATGCTCACTCAAGGTTAAAAGAGAAGTAAAAATAATCAAATCTGTGTATTACTTATGTTTTAAGAGGCGCATCCACCTATATAGTACACCAGTGTTGTTCATCTTTATATTAACATCACTACTACCAATACCAAGTATTATCAGCAATGGTCTAAAACCCAGAGAAAGGAGAACAAATAATAAAATGGCATTTAATCTTCATGAAAAAAGAAAAGACCCCAAACTGTGCAAAACGCACAAAAACAAAGCAAACTTGGCTCAAATCTCAGGAGGTGGGACAGTTGACTTCAAGAGAGGCTGCAAAGCCTTGACAACAATGCTCATATTCGGGCGGAACTCAGCTTCATACTGCACGCACAATGCTGCAACAGCCGCCAGCTGGATCACAACACATATGCGCATTCAGACTTGTTTCCCTTTCTTCCAATCTTAAAATAATAATAATTAAAGGAGAAAGAAAGAGAAACCTTGGCAACTCCTTTTGGAGGATACTCTCCCTTTAGTTTCGGATCAACACATTGCTTCACTTTGTCTTCACTCAGCCTTGGCGTGGCCTAAAAAGAGCACAAAATTTTATCAATTAAGAAAAAAATAATAATAAAAATAACATTAAAAAATCAAAGCATATTCTCACCCATGTAACTAGACTCTGCTGCCCACGAGGCATGGTGTGATCAACAGGCTTTCTTCCAGTCAGAAGCTCAAGCAGAACAACCCCAAAGCTATAAACGTCACTCTTCTGTGTCAGCTGACCTGTCATAGCATATCTGCAGAATATTCACAAAAACCAGTACATTTACATGGATGGCACCTGGTTCTACTCACAACTAATAGCATATAGATGTCGAAACAGACATCAGGACAATGTTTACTAAACCTTATTGCAGCATGTGTGCTTAACCTTGTCTAAAACAGCCATAACCAGCCTTTTCATCATTTCGAAAAAATGGCTTACAAGCAGAGACGGAGCTAGAAGGGGGCCGGGGGGGGCCCGTGGACCCCCCTGATTTATTTGAAAAAATCAATATATATATATATATATATATAAAATGAAAATAATATAAAATGTATAGAAATGCAATTTTTTATACAATATATTAATAACTAAACTTTACTGAAAGTCAATATATTTAAAGAAAATACTATATAATATGTATAGAAATGAAAAAAATATTTACAATGCATTAATGGTTAAAACTTATATCCTATGCTATTTTTAGTTAAATTAATAATACTATTTATTTATTGAAAAATATACTAAAAAAAATTTATATTTTAAATTTCTAGATAAGATTTTGAAAATATTTATAATAATTTACTCTTTCGTTCTTTTAATCGTAAATCGATTTAGTAATTTATAAAAGCGAGAATTTAATTGAATTGTTACATTTTTTAATGTTGACTTTTTACTCTTTTTTTGTGTAATCACATATTTTTAAATTTTTTTTTTTTTTCAAAAAAATCATTTGATAAAGCTTTTATTAAAAAAAAATGCTCTACAATGTGGTGCAAATGTTCAATTTTGAATCAATTTTTCGACCAAAAATAAATATTTTTCATAATTTGGACTTAAATTATAAGTACATGAAATCTCATTTTTTTTGTTTACTTTTCTAAAATTTGAGGTGATACAGATTCTAAGTTTTTAAAAACTTGATGGTACATATTTCTATATTTATATTTATAGTAAACACATATTTACATGAAATGAGTGTTTCGACTTAACCTACAAGATCGTTATTTAATATTTAAATTCGGGGCCCCCTGAGTAAATTTTCTAGATCCGTCACTGCTTACAAGTCAAATCGTCCAAGTTCACTAGGAGGCAGCAAAGCATAAATTTTGGCTACTGTATCTCATATACTTATATTTTATCAGCTATTTAAAAGAAAATTGTTTTTTCATTATGTATTTACGGGAAATTGGCATCACTTATGTTCTTGGACATTAAATTTCACAAAAAATATCAGTTCTAACTTTCAGCTACTAAAAATATCTGAATCCAATGTTAATACCATGCTGAGACAGGAGCTGAATGATGGAAGACTATGATTCAATAATTTAAAATGTCTGCAGTGTGGGACAAATCTTGGAAGTGCCTAGAATCAAAATTGTGAATAAGACAATCATGTCTATTCATGAATCATCAAATTAAACTTCAGTTTATATCCTTAACGCAATTTCGACTCGAAATCATGCGGGGATCTATCTAACATGAACCAATTAGATTAAAAACATATGATATTGCAGACTTGCGTTTAGGGGAGAAGAAAATTAAGTTGAGAGACATTACTCTGGAGCATGATAACCAAAGGTTCCCAGAACTCGGGTAGAATGAAGACGGGCAGCCATGTCAGGAGCCTGATTTGAAAGGTTGAAATCCGCAATCTTGGCTTTGTAGTCTTCAAAAAGCAGTACATTGCTGGATCTGATATCTCTATGGATTATTGAAGGCTGAACCTTCTCATGCAAATATTCCAATCCCCTGGCAGCATCCACAGCAATTCTTACACGTTGCATCCAGTCAAGTACAGGCCCAGGCTGTGCACCTTGCACTCCTTTCCTTCCTGTATTTGGAAAAAATAAAAATAAAAAGCCAAATATAATATTAACTCCTGTTAAAACTATCAAGTCAAAAAATTGCTAGTTGAATAACAGATTTATCTATGCACCATGCAAAATGTCATGGAGAGATCCCATGGTTGCAAATTCATAAGCCAACACACGTAGATCGCCATCTACACAGTAACCAAGCAATTCAACAAGATTTTCATGCTTCAGTGTTGATACCATGGATACCTATGCAGAAATTTATCGTACTCAGGATAACATCGTTAAAATGATTTAAAATACTACGAAAATGTAGATCATATCCATAAATAGCCTGGATATACCTGAGTCAAAAACTCAACACTGGAATCAGGCTCAGATGACACATCAAGCTTCTTGACAGCAACCTCATTTCCATTGTTCAGTTGTGCAAAGTACACTCTTCCATAAGATCCTTCACCAATTAATGCCTTCGACCCAAAATTGTCAGTTTTCTCTTTCAGTTCCTCTATTGACAGAGCAGGCACCTCAATAGGAGGTACTGCCTTCTGAACATCATGCTTAACTGGAGCTGAAGCTTTAGAGCCTCTTTGATGTCCTGGTATTGTGACAAAAAGTATAATGCAGAAACTGAACAATCAAATTATGTTCTTAATTGTGATAAAGCCGGGAGACAAATGTCGGATTATGTGATTTATATGCATGCAAAGCGTTATGGCGCAATAACTACAAGCGTCCCAACTTTCTTTAAAATAAATAAATCACATGGCATATCAACATTAAATGCTAAAAAAAAGTGATTAATAAATTATAAGATCGAAAAAAAAAAAAACTGAAGCACTATTAAAAAAAAGGCTGAAGCAACATAAATGAATAGATTTAAAAATATTAAGATTAAAATGCATCAATGAGTGGGAATCCTCATCTCCCACGGTGTTGTAATCGATGCAATAAACGTACATGACATGATTCACTAATTATAGGTATCGGCAGAAATAGATGCACAAAAGTTCACCTGAAGATCACCCGCCATATGAAAAACTCATTAAAAACAGCAGGAACAAGAACTTGTGCCGTTACACACCGGTGATAGAAAAAAACAAGGCCGGACCAAGGACACAAGACATTTCTCAAGAAATAGTTTGCTTGTACATATAAGTTTCTCCAGTTCGATATATTGCACTTATCTACACACTAAAATAGAACTTAATGTTTAATCTACATTATCTTTATATAATGAGAATAACCCTCATATCTATATGTCTACACTAAAGTCAAATCAAATGCACATAAATGAATTGATTGATTCCATGCTGAGTGCTGACAAGCTCATTGTAAAACAACGGATGAAAATGCTCAATGATAGAGTCAAATAATCAATTCTTATAAACCACATTAATTAGTTGTTTCATAAAAAAAACTGACCACCACAAAGAAAGAGACAGATATGGCACATATTGAACTAATTACTATCATCGATAACATATATAATACATTTAAATCAAATTTTATCAAGGTTTCTCTCTTTGCTCAACTTCCAACTTTTCATGCATTACATCCATCCATCCAGTGATAGAAGTATAATTCTCATGGAGGTGATTGTTCCTCCCACTGCTGGCAGTTTAATAGGGCATATCATAAAAACAGAACTCGACATTTAGTACTTAAAGATAATACAATGCTCATAGTCATTATATATTAAGAGCACATATAACTATCCAAGCACATAAAATTAATAAAGCTGCAACAGGATATAATCTAGAAAAGTTTAATATAAAATGTTGTGTTGAATAACCCTCAACTTCCATAGTGAGAATCTCACCTAGTGTCGAAGAGGGGGAGGGTGTGCTGGACTTTGCGATGGCCTACGACTTGTTGTTAGCGAACACCCTCTTTAGGAAGAGCGAATCTCACCTAGTGACCTTCCATAGTGGACGACACTCAAGTCAGATCGACTTTATCCTTGCAAGGAGGGAGGATAGACGCGCTTGCGTAGATTGCAAGGTGATACTTGGGGAGTGTGTTGTCCCCCAGCATAAGCTGGTGGTGGCGGACTTTCGATTCCGAATACGTGTCCACCGGGACAAACGCGCCAAGACCGGGAGAACGAAGTGGTGGAAGCTTAAAGGGGAAGCAGCGCTGACGTTTAGGGATAGGATACTAGGCGAGGGGCCTTGGGAAGAAGGGGAAGATGCAAATGACATGTGGCTAAAGATGGCAACATGTGTACGGAAGGTGACTGCAAAAGTACTTGGTGTGAGTAGGGGAGCCAAGCAGGAAGCGAAAGACACTTGGTGGTGGAATGACGAGGTGCAAAGGGCTAATCAGGAGAAGGAGTGTTTCAAGCGTCTTCACCTTGACAAGAGTGCAACCAACATTGAGAGCTATAAAATAGCGAGGAGGGCTGCAAAGCGTGCCGTGAGTGTAGCTAAGGGTCAGGCCTATGATGACCTTTATCAGCGCCTAGGCACGAAGGAGGGGGAGAAGGACATTTATAGGATGGCTAGGATTCGGGAGAGGAAGACAAGGGACATCAACCAAATCAAATGCATCAAGGATGGGTCGGATCGGCCGTTGGTGAAGGATGGGGAGATCAAGGACAGATGGCGAGAGTACTTCGACAAATTGTTTAATGGGGAGAGTGAGGGTCCTACCCTGGAGTTGGATGACTCATTTGATGATACCAATAGACGCTTGGTGAGGAGAATTCGGGAGGCAGAGATCGGAGAGGCTATGAAGAGGATGAAGGGAGGTAAAGCAATGGGCCCTGACGGTATCCCCATTGAGGTGTGGAGATGCTTGGGCGCCAGAGCGTTAGTATGGCTAATTAAGCTTTTTAACCTCATTTTTCGGTCAAACAAGATGCCTGATGAATGGAGGAGAAGGACTTTAGTACCGATCTTGAAGAACAAGGGAGATGTTCAAAGTTGTAGTAACTACCGGGGGATTAAGTTGATGAGCCATACGATGAAGCTCTGGGAGAGGGTTATCGAGCATCGCCTACGACGAGTGACGAGTGTGACCCAAAACCAATTTGGGTTTATGCCTGGAAGGTCGACCATGGAGGCGATTTTCCTAATACGACAGTTGATGGAGAGATATAGGGACCAAAAGAAGGACTTGCACATGGTCTTTATCGACCTTGAGAAGGCCTATGACAGAGTACTGAGGATTGTCATGTGGTGGGCCTTAGAAAAGCACAAAGTCCCATCTAAGTAAATTACCCTCATCAAGAATATGTACAAGGATGCGATGACGTGTCCGAACATGTGGGGGCGATACCAGCAACTTCCCAATTAAAATAGGACTACACCAGGGGTCAACATTGAGCCCTTATTTATTTACCTTGGTGATGGATGAGGCCACAAGGGACATACAAGGTGATATCCCTTGGTGTATGCTCTTAGTTGATGACGTGGTGCTAGTTGACGAGAGTAGGGCAGGGGTAAATAAGAAGTTAGAGCTGTGGAAGGACACGTTAGAGTCGAAAGGCTTCAAACTCAGTAAGACGAAGATCGAGTACATGACGTGCGCTTTCAGCATGGCTACACATGATGATGGTGACGTTAGTCTTGACGGGCAAGTGGTGGCCAAGAAAAAGACTTTTCCGTATTTAGGATCGATGCTATAAAAGGATGGCGGCATTGATGAAGATGTTAGGCATAGAATTGCAGCCGGTTGGTTGAAATAGCGTTAAGCTTCGGGCGTTCTCTGTAATAAGAGGGTGCCACAAAGGCTAAAAAGTAAGTTCTATAGGACGGCGATTCGCCAGCGATGCTATACGGTGCTGAATGTTGACCTACAAAAAGGCAACATGTGCAACAACTAAGTGTAGTAGAGATGCGTATGTTGCGTTGGTTTTGCGGGCACACAAGAAGGGATAGAATCCGGAATGAGGATATTTGAGATAGGGTCGGGGTGGCTCCAATTGAGGAGAAATTGGTTCAACATCGGCTGAGATGGTTCGGACATGTCCAACAGAGGCCTCCTGATGCATCGGTGCGTAGGGGAGTTCTACAGCGGGTCGATGATGTAAAGAGAGGTAGAGGTCGGCATAAACTCACTTGGGAAGAGTCGGTTAAGAGAGACCTTAAAGATTGGAATATCTCCAAGGATTTAGCGGTGGATAGGAGCGCTTGGAGGCTAGCAATCAACGTGCTAGAACCGTGACTTTTGCTCCTCTCTCTTTTGCTCTAATCTCTTCCTTGTGTTTTGAGTCCTTTTTGTGTTTTTCTTACCATTGGTTCTCTTGGGTTTCATCTCTAGCCTACCCCAACTTGTTTGAGACTAAAAGGCTATGTTGTTGTTGTTGAATAACCCTAAGTGTTCCACAAGCTAGATTCCGACTCTCCATTCTTTCCAAACAAACATGTGAAAAGTTATCTAGTTTCAGAACATGTTTCCCAAGTAAAACCTTCTATTGAAGCAAATTATAATGATAAACCCTATTACTCAACCTCTTCTTCTTATTTAAAGTCAACAATTAGAGGAAAAAAAAACTTATCGTTTGCACAAGCAAGAGCTCGTATTATCCATTTCTATATTACACAATTCAACCAAGCATGCAAGCAAAACAGTATTCAGTGCCAATAGAAAGTAATTTACATTTAGAAGTAACTAGTTATAAAGTTGATATACTTGAAATATAAACTATTTACCATCAGCATGACTGGTTGGGCTCTTCAAGTGCTCATTTTCATGGGGCTGATAGGACTCCTCTACTTGACAGGTGCAACACAACCACCTCCGCATCCTTGATCTCTTTCTAAAATAAAGATCGCCTTCAACACTCTTTGTATCCAAGCGTACAAAGTAACCGGGAGGCGGTGCCTGAGCCTAGTAATATCAGTATTCAGTATTCAGTAGAATGAGGAAAAAGGAAGAACCATTACAAGATTGATATGTCACACATAACCATGTCTTATACATATTGGTGCAAACACAGGCACCACAAAACTACATAAGACATCGAAAAATAGTATAAGAGCTTCAATGCCAAACAACATTTAAATGCATCCTATAACCATAATCATCGACCTATGGAAACAAACTAAGTTGGAAATCTAAAGAAAGTTGCACTCATTAATCTTAACGTCTAGAGGCAAACTTCAGTGAACAAACATTAGTCTGTGTCCGACAGTACAAACCACTAGAAGATAAATAACGACTCAACAAATCAGTTAAACAAAGTGTTTTCTAAATAAAACAGATAACTAACCATCTAGAATATCTATGAATACACTTATGCATTGTTATCTCATGGTGTAACAGAAACTCGACCATTTTTCACCCATACAAGGTGACATGGGGATTGTCCTCATATCCGAATAGCAGAAAACTACTGCTACTTCCGACATACCCGACAATAAATGGTTTTTCACAATCATCAACAAAGATATTCGTTCATAGCTGATCCAAAAACCTTTCAGTCACTACATAGTTCTAGCTTTTCTAGTAATCTTAAAGAAGGGATGTACATCGGTCTTTCTCTAACCACAAATTACAGCCCATAAACAGAAAACTAATATATTCATTTCCATCAACCTTTCAGTCACAACATAGTTCTAGCTTTTTTTGTAACCTAAAAATAAGGATGGTATATCTGTCTTTCTATAACCCCCAACGCTATAGCCGTAAACAGAAAACTAACACACATGGATAATTAATCTAATATGAGAAACACGTCATACATATCATACAAAGCCTGAGATCACATCATATATTACCCAAATAACTCAGAGATTATATCAATTCTAAAATGAATAAAAATAAAAGAAGAAAAGGCAAAAAAAAAAAGAGAGAAAATGAAAGGCGAGACCCAGAACTTGTCCTCACATCAGAGATTCTGATAGAACTACAGTGACAGCTCGTATAGGGCTAAGAATCTCAGAACAAAATGGCAAACACAGGACATATATTAATCATAACAACTAATCATGGTAACATAACACGTAAATTCAAATAAATCTCAGCCCATATCAAAAGAAAAATTTCCAAAATTCCAGAAACCAGGTTAATAATGTTATAGGGAACACATTACCATAAAACTACGCCCATTGCTATAACTTTCATCTATCGCCATTCAGTAAATTTATGGATAAACAAGTATAGACACAACTGACGCGCAAAGACAGATTATCCAAAGAAAGAGAACAAGATGCAAATAAAACGAGAGCCAATTGACAAAGATAGAGGAGTCGAAATCAGATTTCAAATCAAAAGCAATAATAAATAATTAAAGCCATAGCAGAAGAGGGATAAAACCAACCCAAATTCATGGGCCTCTTTTTTGTTATTCTTTTTTTCCCCTTGCCCGAGTTCTCCTCACTTATTAATTCTCTTCGACAGGACTCTGTTAATACATAATTAATTAACAAAAAATAGAAATCTGGTTATTATAGGTGGTAATGGGGGATTTGCCCTGAAAGTAATAACAACAAAGGAGATCGGAGAAAAATTGGGGTGGGAGCACAGGTGAGCGGACAGCCTGGAAAAACAAATAAACCGACGAGTATGTGTGTTTTTGTGTGAGAGAGAGGGAGAGAGATTTTGTACAGCCAGAAAGATGGACGGTGGAGTGGATTAGAGAAAAAGCAAACACTGCTTGGTGCACTTACGTAATTACGTATGTCTTCAGTGTTCACACAGTTATAGGGTTGATTTTAGATTTTTAAATACTTTTTAAACTTTAGAATTAAGTATTAGTGCATTTAATTTAGATTTTATAATATTTTTAAAAGTCTTTAGATATTCATTTGAGATTTTAGAAAGTCCTACAAAATTTTCATTTATTTAGTGTGTATTCAATTGAGATTTCTAATAATTTTTTACGACTTTAGGAATCTTTGTGTATTAAATTTATATTTATTAGGAATTTTAAAAGTCTTGAGGTATTCAATTGAAATTTTAAAAGTCTTACAAAATCTTGAAGTATTTAAATTATTTGATACTATGATTTATTAAGACTCTTTTAAGATTTGGTGGGTTTGGATTTTTACACAAAAAATTTTCTACGAAATTCCGCTTCAAATCTCACCTCAACACTTAAGGTTTCATAGAATTTTTCCAAAAATTAAAAATATTAAAAAGTCTCAAATCTTAAAAAGTTCTAAAATGTCACTTAAAATCTCAATTCAATATCCTCATTATCTTATTTGAGATTGTTGTAGCAAATTATTTTATTACCGAGTACCGAATCGAATGATCCGTTCCCCGGGTCGATCTCTCGAGGAAGGCGGTTCGGAATCTAGAATTGGTGTCGATCACACACGAAAGCATACAATTAGGGTTTGAACTATCAACTAGGAAATAATAGAAATGCATGAAAATTAACTCAAAAACATGAAACAAACAATGATAAAGAAGCTAGGGAATCGTAGATATTGGTTTCTGTTCGGATTGCAGTTAATGGGCAAGTGATTGTTCGGTTAAATGACTCGAATAACCTACTCGTTCAAAGATTCATCCTCAATAACTTTTTGTAACAAGAACAAACGTGAATGGCAAATTAACGATTCGTTTAACACCTAGGCAATACAATTACAAATTAGCCTAGTTTATACGAGCCTAGATCGATCGACTCCTCCCCTTTCGGTTCTAAGAGCCAATTAAATTATCTTAGAACATGGTTAATCAACTAGTCCATTGAGAATTAACAACATCACGCGAGAACGAATCAAATTCAATTGAAAATCAATTGAAGATTGAAGTGTCACCCTTCAACAATTCTTAACATTCAAGCATAATCATCGAAAACTCTATTTAAGAGTAACTCGTATGAATTGAACAATCAACGAACACAATAATCACAAACGAAACCAAAACATCATCCCCTATCCCTAGCAATTGGGTTTAGCCACTCATATTCAATTCAACAACATCAACCACAACAATCAAAGCAATCATATTCATGGATTAAATGAATAGAAAACTTACGATTAAAACGGAATTGAGAGTTGAATTGAAATACAAGATTAATCCGAAAGTAATGAAGGAATCCAAGTGAAAAACATGATCAAGATGGTGTTCTTAGGGTAAGAGAAGGGGAAAAACGGGTTTTGGGGGATTTTTTAGGTTTGGGAACGAGTCCCAATGCAAAGTACTAGAAAAAACGAAAAAATCTAGCTTTTAAAAATCTGGTCACGACCTCAGCGGCCGCGGGAAGCTCCAAGGCCGCGAAATTTCAGCTGCAGAAGGGCTCCGCGGCCGCGGGATTACTCCGCTGCCCGCGGTGAAGAAAATTGGGCTGCTGCGCGCGGCTTTACGTTTCGGGCTCGTTTGAACTCATCCGAACTCAAAATTGAGTTCCGTTTTTTCCTACGCCCCGCTAACGAACCCATCTATCCAATTATGCTCTCGAACCCAATTTTTCCTGAATAGAAAATTCGCCCGAAGCTCCCTACCTACACACCAAAAACAACAAAACACGAACAAAATCGGAAAAACAAACGAAAAAACACTTAAAGACTCAAAATGAAGGAAAACACATAATAAAACACGAAACGGACTAAAAACGAAAGAAACGACCTATAACGGGGGAAAAAAGAAAAGCAAAACACGCACGAAAAATGCAACAAAAATGGGATAAACAAACTCCCCCACACTTAAACCTTTGTTCGTTCCGAACAAAAAGAAAAGAAAAGAAAAGACACAAAACTGAAACCGAGCATGGACAACAGTCATTAACAAGATAAGCTTCAAAAATATTTAACTTCAACAACGAGCATTCAAATGGCACATATGAGCATTACACAACTGCATGCTTGATCACTATACTTCGACTTGGCGTTCTCTCAAGTATGAGAATATATATGTGTGCCTCACTCAACTTCTTATATAGATAAAGATAGGTGCACTCAAATTAGTCGATAACAAATTCAATCATATGCTTGCTCATTATCTAACTTCTACTCTAAACCAATCAAAATCGAAACTAGTGCATCAAAAGGTCTTTCTGGGTTGTAACGTAGGCTCTTTGGATATGTAGGATAAATATAGGCTAAGTGGCTCGAATTCATTACATAACTCAAACATCTTACCCCAGAAGCATACACTCAACCGGTTGCTCACACGTACCATATCCTCCCCCACACTTTTCCTGAAAGCACACATTTCACCCATTTTATTTCATTTTTTTTTTCTTTTTCATTTCTTTTTTTTTTTTTGTGTGTGTAAACCTTATTGGACATTTTATAATCTATTCGGCTACATTTTTTTTCTCTTTTTTTTCTTTCGATTTTTTTTTAAATATAAAAACAACTCCAACAAACAACTCCAACAATCATCTCCTCCGATTCTCAACCCGCAACTCCAACATCGTCATCATCACTAGGTTATCAACAAATATTAAATAAGGCTCAAAAAAGAGGGAGACTAGGGAATAATTTGCAGAGAAAAAAAAAGGATAGAATATAATAAACGCCTTAATCATATACACAGTTTACAATTCTAATCAATTTATTTCAATGTAGACTCAGGGCAAGTTCTAATCAAACAAGAGCACGACCAATGTATCTCAAGAAACAAATAAGGCTCAAACCTCACTAGGTAGATATATGAATGCCAATAAAAGTATACGATCATGCATTTCATCACGCTATGTCGCATATGACCAACATCACAACTCATCGAATTCATCAAAGAAGTCTTAACTAATCTTGAAATTTTCAAAGTACATACTCACAGAACACACAAAACCTACACTAGACTGGTCCACCACATAAGCATGCAAAATCCAAGTAAACTCCAAATTTATTATAGCAAATTATTTTTATTACCCAGTACCTAATTGAATGATCCGTTCCCCGGGTCGATCTCTCGTGGAAGATGGTTCGGAATCTAGAATTGGTGTCGATCACACACGAAAGAAAAATAAATCCTAAACACTCTAGTCACAATTAAGGTTTGTACTATCAACTAGATGTTGGGATCTGTGAGGATCTCGTTATGTACAAATTACGAATTCAATAGCAAACGTAAACCTATGCGCAGCGGATCTAAAGGTTTGACGTAGAGAACTTACGGCTTAAAATTTATGTAGATCTGGTTGACCATGAACGGTTGACCGCAATTGATTGACTGCAACACGCATCTTGGGTTGCAAGAACAAGATCATATCAAAATCGGATCAAACGGATGCAAACAGATCAAAACGAAACTTGCAGCCTGGGAGCTTCCGGCGGCGCGTGAGGGCGCGTCCGGCGTCGGATTCCGGCGATCTCGGCGGCGATGGAAAGCCCTCGTCGAGACGGTCGTCTGGGTATACTGTACGTCTCAATCGGACTTTCGGTTAGTTCTGTAGGTGAAAATATATTTCGTCTCGGTTTACCTACATATCTTCTACTGTATTACTCAATACACCATTCTTCAACTTGTACCAGTGGAGCAACGAGAAGAAGATAAAGCTCGAATGAGATCTAGAGAGAGAGGCGTGTTTCACGTGAGAATGATACTTCTATTCTCTTCTCATGAGCTTAATGATGTATATATAGAGCTACAGTAGGGACCCTAAGGAGATTAGGAAAAGGGCTCCTTAATTAATTAGACTAACTGTAGGCCAAACCCACTCCTGTAATTAATTAAATAATATTAATGGGCCACCAACATTATATTATTGCACTCCCTTTCCCTAGCCCAAATTACATTTGAGACTCCAATAATAATTACTCGATTTACCTCCCCACGTTTAAGATATAATGTCCATTAATTAATTCGATTACTGACAATCAAGAATTAATTAATTTATTATTATTTCACCGAAGCTAGCGCTCGTTCATCACATTCTTATTATGCCGGAATTAATCCACCTGCAGGGTTTAGCATAACAATCCTTCATGAACTCACTCCGGGGACATCATCAAACTAACGCACATGGTGACCGTAAATATCCTAACAGCACATCCTATATATAATAATATTACCCAAAACAGTAGGAATATTAATCCAGCGAACTGAACTTCACCCATGTGAATCAAAGTAATATATATTATATATATCTGCCTGTTTAATATCTTACGGGTTAAGAGAACGCAGTAATTAACCGAGGCCTAGTTCATTTACGACGATCAGTATAAAATGAACTTCTCCTCTCTGGGATCCTGTTCAATACATAAATGTACTAGTGCAACTAATCAGTCAAGACAAACTGTACAGTTGACACTACAACCGTTCGGATGGGGTGTTCATGTCCATCTAGGTTGTGAACAACTATTCTTGTTCGCAAGTGACTGATAGAGTGATCTTCGGTTCGCCCGATGACGACCCACCCTATCTAAGTGCAGAACAACAGAACGTAGAACTTGTTTAATCTAACATGATTCTCATTCATAAAGGGTAAATGTGTAATAACATGCAAAGCCAAGCTTTCAGTATATAACACTAACAATCTCCCACTTATACTTAAAGCTTTCGCTTTTACAGTATAGTCCTATCAATCCGTTATTCTAAAAGACCTATGTCGATCCTATTGCCATGCTCATGACTCCCATTCCTTCCACGTGTTTGACGAAGACCTTCCCCAGCAAACTTTTCGTGAAAGGTTCAGCT